TATGGGATGGGTACTATTATTATCTCTGTTTTACAGCTGAAGAGACGGAGACTTAAGAAGTTAAGTCCTTTTCCTTGGATCTCAGAGCTAGTAAATAATAGAAACAGAATTTGAAATTATAAGGTCATATTTCAAAGTCTATGCTCTTAACTACTCTGCTAAACTTTCAAATGGAATGAATCCTTCAGAGTCTATCCATCTTACAAAGTTGTTAAGATCAAATAACTTGATAAATAAGAAATGGCTTTGTAAGCTGAAAAACTCTGATGTCAGAAACTGCTAATTTTAACCCAGTATCTCTCTTTGATTTTTCTTTCATAATAATATAATTCCTGGTGTTTAGCTGGTCACATAATTGCCCACAATAATAACTACATTTCCCAGTTTTTCTGGTCTCCAGGAATGGTCATGTGATTCTATCTGGGCTAATGTGATATGAACAGAGCCACATTTTTATTTCTGGGATATGCCTTTAAAGGGACAGAGTGAGTGTCCCCCTCCCCACCCTCCCATCCCTGGGTCCTTTCCCCTTCCTTGTAGCTAGGCTATGAACATGGTGGTAATGAGTCATCTTGGATCACAGGGATAAGATAGAAGGAGCCTGGGAACTGTGGCATTGCAGAACTCACATACTTACCCTACATTGCTTTTGCCTGGATGATTGAGATGGAGAGAAATAAACTTCTATCTTGTTCTAGCCATTGTTGTTTTGGATCTCTATTATAGCAGCTGAACGTATCTCTAACGAATATAGTCTGTTCACAGGGAGAAAGATTATTCTTACTATTCCTATAGAGCATCTTTGAGACTGTTTGTAGGCTATATCATAAGAACTTTCTCGTCTCTGTAAAAGACAATATCATTCAACTATTAATAGTTTGCTTGGGTCAAAAACCTAGGAGTCTTTGCTTTTCTTTTAAAACAACTTGATTGAGGTATAATTGACATATGATAGACTGAAAATATTTAAGTGTACACTTTGATAAGTTTCCACCTAGGAAACCATCTTCAGAATTAAGATAATAAGTATATCCATCATCACAAAAGTTATCTAATGCTCCTTTGTAATCCCTTCCTTCTTCCTCTTCCTTAGGTTTCACCACCCCCAATCTATCTGGCAACCACTGATCTTCTTTCTGTCACTTTAGATTTGTTTGCATATTCTAGAACTTTAGACATGGAATCATACGGCATGTTACTTTTTCTCATCTGGTTTTTCTCACTCAGCATATTTATTTTGAGATTACAAATCATCTTTGATTCCTCTCTTTGTTTCATTGCCACCCCGTCTGCCCCCAATCCATTTCTTCATTAAGTTTAATAACCTCTACCTGAATCCATCTACTTCTATCTGTCTCCATCGTCATCATCCTCAGACCATTATCGTCTGTCTCGTGTACCACTGCAACAGTCTCCTGACTGGTCTCTTTGCTTCCAAGCTTGCTCCTTCTAATCCATTCTCCACCTTGAACCCACAGTGGTCTCCTTAAAATAGAATCATATCAATCTCTTCAGATCATATCAGTCCTCTGCTTGAAATTATTCACTGGCTTATGATCACACTCAGAATAATATTCTGATCCCTGACTGTAGCTTAAAGGTCTCTCGTGGTCCCGTCCCCTGTGCAACTCTCTGATGTCACTGCCTTCTACCATTCTCCGTACCCAGCCATGTTGGCATCTTCTTTTTGTTCTTCAAATGTGCCAAGACTGCTCCCATCCTAAATTCTTTGTTCTTGCTGTTTCTTCTGTCTGGAAGGCTGTTTCCCCAGCTGTTTGCACAGCTATCTAATTCTCATTTTCCAGGTCTGATTTCAAATGTTATGGCCTTCCAGAGAGCTTCCCACACCTTAGTGGCCTCCACCCAGCAGCCTCTAACCACATTGCTGTTTTCTTCTTAATAACACTTATTAGCTTATGAAATTATTTGTTGGCATGTTTATTGTTTGTCTTTCCCCACTGGAATGTGTGCTCCATGGGGACAGGGAATTTGTCTCTTGTTATTGTTATATCCCAAGGGCCTAACAGATATTCAATAAATATTTGTTGAATGAATAAATAAGGTTATTGTGCATGGGTTGGCAGAGCTGAAGGGTAAAAAGGGATCACTTCTTTAAGTTCCACAACTGTGGTCTGTTTGAACCTCAGGAGTATATCCTTGTACTAGTGAAGTTTTCAGTGTGAAGGCTGTTTTTTTTTTTTTTTAATAAAAATAATAGAAGCAAGCTCAGCATGGTTATTCTCTAGACAAGTGTCCAAGGACTGCAAACTCTTTAGGGCTTTCATAGACAGTGTCTTCCTGTCATTTTAGAAACTCTAAAGAGGGAAAGGCAATAACATTTATTTTGAAGTCCAAAATAAAAGGGTGATATTACAGTGGCTGCCCGTCCGTAAATTTATATCACATTCTGCCAACTTTATGCTCTAGGCAAAGTTTATTTTCCCCTAAGTTTGCTTCATTCGTGTAGTGTCAAGAATTAGCATAAAAATTGGTCTGGAACCCTTGCCTCTCTCAGGGCTCTGGTAGAAGTGAATGTGGAGGAATTTCCTGCCAGCCCAGTGGTTAGGACCCAGTATTTTCATGCCAAGGGTCTGGGTTCACTCCCTGGCTCGGGAACTAAAATCTCAAAAGCCACAAGAAGCAGCAAAAAAACAAGTGAATGTGAGACGTTTCTATAGTCCGTGGACATGCCGGACACTGAAGACAGGTTCTAATCAAAAAATTATGAGTCAAATGAGAAAATTAACTCTCATAAGAAAGACCAGCAGATGCCCAATAGTGGAAGAATTCATACCTCAAAGATTTCAACTGATAAGACATAAAGAAATTAAAAAATAGTTATGGTAATTATGTTTTAATTATTTTCACCATTAGGCAAGAATATATCACTGCATATCATTATGAAAAAGAAAAGAACATGTAGATTTGAAAAAAGAACAAAAACATTTTTTCACGTTTTAAAATGTGGTAAAATATACATAACATTTACTATTGTAATCATTTTTAAGTGTACAGTTCAGTGGTATTAAATACATTGACAATGTTGTGTTACTATCACTACCATCCATCTCTTTTCATCTTGTAAAACTGAAACTCTACACCTATTAAACAAGAATTCCTGGGCTTACCTGGTAGCTCAGTGGTAAAGAATCCACCTGCCAATGCAGGAGACACTGGTTCGCTCCCTGATCTGGGAAGATTCCACATGCCCATGGAGTGACTAAGCCCAAGCACCACAGTATTGAGCCTGTGCTCTAGAGCCTGGGAGCCACAACTACTGAGCCATGTGGCTGAACTGCTAAAGCCCTTGCACCCTAGAGTCTGTGCTCCACAATAAGAGAAGCCACCACAATGAGAAGTTCATGCATCACAACTAGAGAGTGGCCCCCGCAGCAATGAAGACCCAGTATAGCCAAAAATAAATAAATACATTACAATTTTTTTTCCTTTCTATCCCTTCCTCCTGGCCCCTGGCAACACCATTCTACTTTCTGTCTTTATGATTTTGTCTACTCTAAGTCCCTCATACTAGAAAAGGACATGGCAACCACTTCAGGATTCTTAAGAGCCTGGGAAATCCCATGGACAGAGATGCCTGGCTGGCTAGAGTCCGTGGGGTTATAAGAGTCAGACACAACCTAGTGACTAAACCACCACCACCAAGTCCCTCGTACAATAGAATCATACAGTATTTGTCTTTTCATGACTGGTTTATTTCACTTAGCATAATGTCCTCACATTTTGTTTATCTATTTATCCAATGATGGACATTTGAATAGCTAGTAAGTCCAATAAAATTTTTTTTTAAGATAGAAAGTATCATGTGTCTTGAAAAAGGAACAGAAGTAGTCTTGAAATTCCGAGGAGAGATTATTTATGGTCTGTGTGATGAGTGATGTAAAAAATAAAAAAAATACATAAAGGATACATATTATGTGTCTGCTTGCTGGACCTTGAAAGACAAATATAACAATGCTAACCACAGGAACTTAATTACAGCTTTTTATTTTGTGCCTACTGTATGCATTGTGCTATGCTTGGAGCTTTCCATCCTGATCTTATTTACTCCTCAGAATAACTGTTAGGTCAATACTGTTATTCTCATATTAAATGAGGAGACAAATTCTACACAACTAGGAAATGGAAGCAGACATACCTACGCTCAGTGTAGACCAAACCTTGAATACAGATTTGTTTAGTTTTAAACTCCCTGCCCTTTCCTCTGCCTCACAGGTTTTTAGAGTAAGGAAGATATCCATTTCTTTCATGTCCATCCTTCTAGTCATCCTTCTGGTTCAAATGCCAGCTATTTTACAGCAAATTCTCAAAATGTGGTTTGCAGACCACTTGGACCAGATCATAAAAGGAGTTTGCAAAAGTACATATTTCTGTGCCCCATATCAAAGATTCTAAGTAAGTTTGGGATGAGGATCAGAGAATCTGCATTTTTTTTTTTTTTTCTTTTAAAAAGAAATTTGGTCTCTCGTGAGAACTCCTGTGTCTACAAGGTCTTCTGGGAACATTCAGTAGAAATAAGTTCTTTGGGAAAACGCTTCAACTAAGCCTCCTGGTCTTGTCCATGCTGCCTTGCCTGAAACTCAGGCTGATTCTTTCTCATCCCTCCTTGACAGCACAGGACTTGTTGAAGGCATGAATTACTTTAGAGGTTTTAGCCTGATTTACATACATCTTAATTCAGCAACACAAACTAAACTATTTGTCGAAGTGCTTAAAACCACACACGAAATCTGCGCATTGTGCTGTGTTTGGAAGGATGTGGAGAATCACGGCGGGCCTACAGGTCACTTGGGGAAGACGTACTCTGAATCGGAATCCCGGTTATTTCAGGCGTTTGTAACAACGGGAAAGGTAGGAAAACCAAGCACACCGACTCATGCGCAGGCGCAGAAGGAAGAGGCCCTATCAAACCTTCAGGACGCGCCCTTCCCCCACGCTCTTTCCGGGCTTCTCCTACTGCGCAGGCGCAGCAGAGAAGCAAGATGGCGGCCCCCGTGGATCTGGAGTTGAAGAAGGTAAAAGAGGGTCTTGAGCAGGCAGACGCTTTTCTTTGGAAGCTAAGGGGACTGTGGACAAGAATATTGAGTGAGTCTCGAGTGCTGCGGGAGGAAAGAGGCCCCAGGGAAATAGGGGGTGGTTTCTCAGAGTTTAAAGGCGGGACCGGGCCTCCTTAGGCTGGAGTCGAGGGCTAGCGGCTCTTTGCCGGGTAAGAGCCGATTGGGCTGGGCCTGGTTAAGTTTGGCGGGCCTGTAGCTGTTTTATTCCGTTGTTCCGAGTTCCAGAGACCTTTCGTTGCTCTTGGAGCCTTCAGTTCCTTAGTGAGGCCTGAAGTGAGCGCTTCCATTTGGAGCCTCTTGCCCGAGCTGTAGCATCTTTAATTCTGTATCCTAATTTGCTTTGGACTCCAAGTCCAGTCTGTTTTTAGGTCAGTTCTTTAATCCCATACCTTGTAAGGTCGCTTCATACAGTTCAGTTAGGTATCCTCATAGCAATGTTCATCTTAGGGCTTTGCCAACAACCTCCCCCCCCCCCCCGCGCCCCGCCCGTTTTTAAAGACTTGTCAAAAAAGAAACAAGTCCAAGTTTTCCAGATAAAATTGGTATCAGAAGGAATTGAGTTTCTCTCTTCAAACAATTGCCTAGAAATGTGTTCTTACACGGAAAGGTTTTCACCACCTAAGAGTTGCCAGGAATCTAACACCACTACCGACTCACAAGCATATCCTTTTTTTTTTTTTTTTGGCGGAGGGAGGGAGAATGGGGATTGGAAAGGAGCCTAGACTTCATCTACTGTAAACCAGTACTTTTCTAGAAAAGGAAACAGTTTAACAGAAGATTCAGCCCAAGCTTGGTTCTAGAGTCCTGCATTCTCTGCCTCACTTTCCACCTTTTGACCACTACTTGAGGTTAGAAGAGCAAATTTTACTTAAGACTGTCTTGTGATCAACCTTTGCATGAGAAATAAGACAGCTGAAGTAGCTGTCCCACGTAATAGATGAAGCAGTGTATTATTGCTCCGAGGATTTACGTGTGTGTGTGTATTGCTTTTTGTTTGGAGCTTGCACCTTTACTCCTTATGGTGCTCTCTAGTGCTGTGTTATCTCAGCTTTAACAGTATACTGGCTTCCTTAGCAAACTGTCTTAAAGTGTTTTAAAAGTTTACCTTTTTTTTTTTTCTGTTAAAAGTTCAAATTTAAGTTAGGGTTTAGTGAGAGCTAACAATAGAATACAGCTGTGAATGGACTTACCCCTCAGTATTATTTGAATCTGTTGCTGGGAAACCTGTGGACAGTGAATGAAAACTAAGAAAATAATTACTTATATTGGGTAGTTTTGGCAACCAATAAAATTACAGAAGAAACTTGTTTAAAGGTCTTTTAATATGTTTATAATTTTGGGGGGAGGGAGAGGGGTGGAGACTAATAGGAAACTTTAGGTACCTCCTCTCCCCTCTAGATGAAGCTTTTGAAACCTTGCTAGTAGGTGAGACGGAGAAGGCAGTGGCACCCCACTCCAGTACTCTTGCCTGGAAAATCCCATGGACGGAAGAGCCTGGTAGACTGTGGTCCATGGGGTCGCTAGGAGTCGGACTCGACTGAGCGACTTCACTTTCACTTTTCACTTTCATACATTGGAGAAGGAAATGGCAACCCACTCCAGTGTTCTTGCCTGGAGAATCCCAGGGATGGGGAGCCTGGTGGGCTGCCATCTATGGGGTGCTGCCATCTATTCAGAGTCGGACATGACTGAAGCGACTTAGTAGCAGCAGTAGGTGAGCACAAAGTCAGAATAAAAGTTTAGTAACTTTTTGCCATGTATAGCAGCCACAGATGTTATTATTAAGTCAAAATTTGACAGCATGTGAAAGTCATTCTAGGCACTTCAGAAGTATCAAAAACCTTTTAAGAGTACTCAGAGGTCAAGTTTGGCTTATCGTGTGCATATGAAGATCATGATGCAGTTGTTTTATCAATGCTTTGAGTTTTTTGTGTGTCTTTCTCTTAAAATATTCATTTTCTGAATATTACTGTGGATAGTAGAGTAGAAAGATTCAGTAACTAGAGATCAGAAGAAATTAATTAAGTACTTGATTTTTGACCTAGTAGTTGTTCAGCCCTGTGAAAGTCATTTATCATTCTTCAAAACATTTAGTTAATTTGTAAACTGTGCTGATGAGTCTGCCATCCTTAACTCAGGATTATTGAAAAGAGAAAATGAGACATTTATTATATGTCAGTATTCTCATATTAATATTCACTTGTTAATATTTCAAACAAGTGTGGGAAAGTGCTTTAAATAGTCTTGAGTAGTACAGATGTGGTGAATTGTTACATTTATTGTTCTTGTTTTGGGTCTCTGGGTTTCTGATTGTTGCATTTAGAGCTTTTATTACTCCTTGGGTACCTGCTTCTTGATATGGTTATTATTTACCATGCCTTTGTTCAACTTCTTCAGATAGGTTGCATCTTCTGAGGACTGGGTAAGTTCAGTATAGTTGACTCTTGAACAGCATTGGTTTAAACTGCAGGGATCCAGTTGTACACAGATTTTTAAAATAGTAAATACTAGAGTACTATATGATATGTAGTTGGTTGAATCAACAAGTGTAGAACCAGGGATACAGAGGAACTGCTATATGGAGGGTCAACTATAAATTATACTTGGATTTTCAACTTCACGGAGGGTCAGTGCTTTTAATCACTGTATTGTTCAGGGCTCAAGTTTTTAGCAGACTGACTTTGAGATGTTTGCTGTGGTAAATCTCACAGCTTTGTCTTGTTTATCAGGCTTCATTTTAATATATTAGATTTGATGTAAACATTTACTGTAAAATGTTGCACCTACTAAATCAAGGACTTCTTTCTTTTTAGGCCTTCACAGAGCTTCAAGCCAAAGTTATTGACACTCAGCAGAAGGTGAAACTTGCAGACGTACAGATTGAACAGCTGAACAGAACGAAAAAGCATGCACATCTTACAGATACAGAGATTATGACTTTGGTAGATGAGACTAACATGTATGAAGGTGTAGGAAGAATGTAAGTAAAGTATATCCTTAAGGGGGTTATCCTGAAAGAAGTTTATCTGAATTAAGTCATAGAATTTGTTCACTTTACAGCTTGGGTTGAAGTATCATAGTAGCTTTAAAGAACCCTAGGTCAAATATCTTTTTTCTTTTAAATGAGAAACTGAATTCCAGGTAGATGTGTTTAATCTTAAACTTTGAAGCACAGTTTAAAAATATTTATTCCATGTTCTTCTCTCCATGCTTAGGTACTTAGCGTGTGTAACTTTAATGGTGAAAATATGATTTGTTGTGAAATGATGTTTATAGTAGTTTTGTGTGTGAAGATTTTTTAAGTAGTTGTAGTTTAATCTCGTCTTCCCAACCTAATTATTAGTGGTCACACAAATCATGAATCTTAGATGTCTGATCAGGTTGTAAAACAAAAATAAAGATTCAGTTGTCTATTTAAATATACTCATTCTGTCAAACATGAGAAATCTAGTAAATCAACTTACCTTGTTTGTTCTAATTCTTATTATATGATTAACCACCTGCACTTCACTTTTTTTTCTTTTAAAAACTATATTGCCATTCTGAGAGAGAATATATCTGTTTCATGTTCTCTAAGCAGTAAATAGGAATGGAAAAGCCCTTAACTGCAGGTCACATTCCATTACACTGAGCTAAAAGGAGACTGATTTTTTTTTTTTAAGTGGAGGAGGTACAAGAGAAGGGTTTTTCTGGAATTTGGTCTTTGAATATTACTTAGTAAGTGGACCATTACTTAAGTTTGGAGCTCCTTTAGTTGGAAAGGAATTTGACCTCAGTCTAGGACGATTTGTTTTATGATTGATTTGAAAGAAGCATGGCATGTGTAACATTTAGTGATGGCTTTAGAATGACATCATGAGAAATAGACCCTGCTCATGGTAGCTGATCCATATTGGTTTGAAAAAGAGGTAGATTATGATAAATTGTTCATCTGATTTGCTTTCTGAGAATAAACAGCATGGATAAATAAATAAAATCTTATTGTTGGAGTCCATTTTTTCATTTTAGCTTGTTTTAAAAGGAAGAAAATTCCAATTTGAGAGTTTGTTAACTGGGACACAAAAGAATTGGGATGAAAGCAAAGTAGAACCCTTGAATATATGTCTGTGTAGCATGAAGTGCATTGTTGGCATTCACTGCAGGATAATTTTATCTTTGTTATGAATATCCTTAGATCTTGAAACAGTAATGGTAGCTTTTATAGCATGCTTGTTAACATGTTGTGCTTCGGTTTTACATCATTACATTAGCCTTTGCTTGCTGCAGTTAAAGAATTTCTCCTGAAAGGAAAAACTCTTTAGTCTTTTGATCTATAGTGGATTAAAAAAAAATTTTTTTTGTTTCTTTATTTGTTTTGGCTTTGCTGGGTCTTTGTTGCTACATGCTGGTGCTGTCTAGTTTTGGGGAGCAGGGGCTACTGTGGTTTCGGTGCTCTGGCTTCTTGTTTTGGTGGCTTCTCTTGTTGCAGAGCACGGGCTCTAGGGTACACCTATTTCAGTAGTTGTGGTTCCTGGGCTCTGGAGTACAAGCTCAATAGTTGTGGCTCACAGGCTCAGCTGCTCCCCGGCATATGGGATCTTCTGCGACCAGGGATTGAACCTGTGTCTCTGCACTGGCAGGCAGATTCTATCACTGAGCCAATAGAGAAGCCCGATCTATAGTGAAGTTTTACTTTTTAATAGAATAATTTCATTTACTAAACATTCTGCAGACATGATAGGCAAGTTGCTTTTTTTGCTTATTGCCCAAAGTGCTACTTATTGGTTGTATTCCACTCGAAGAATTTTAGAGTTTAAAGGCTGGGATATGAATTAGTTAATGGTAGAACAGTAGTATTTCCAGAAGATTTATTTCATGTGAATTATGTTTCTTAAAAGAAATAAGTAGCTTTAAGTGTTTAGATAATGTGGAATATCTACATGGTTTTAAACTTTGGTTTTAAATTTGTCTTTTGTACTTTGTGCATCTGGAGTTTGTAGGGGCATGTAAGGTAAGTTGTGTTTGTTGTTTGGCCCGAGTGTTAGTGCCCTCAGGAGGAAAAGATTTGCTGAGTATTAGTCTGGTCATGAGGATGTTCTCTTTCTTGATGCTAAGCCTGAAATAGCTATTTCTGAATTTATAGTCTTGAGTAATCTTGAGTATCATTGTGATTCACTTCTTTAATTCTAGTCTTTACCTTAATTAGTCTTTTCTTTTCCTTTTTGAAAATTGTTAGGGAATTCTAATTAGAGCTAATTTTTCTCAAACTGTTGTTTTAAAACCAAGAATTATAAAATCTAAAACATTACATTTTTGTTTTATAACCTGCAATTTTACCATTGCTGAAATTCAGGCCTCTTGCCTGGACTAAGAAGCAATAGCTTCTGAAATGTTCTTTCTGCCCTTACGGTGTTGGTTTAAATGCTTTCTTCACCCATCTGCCAGATATGATTATGACATTATTTTTCATAAAATCTTTTGTTCATTCTTGTTTACCCGTGGTATAAAAATCTAAATTTGTTAGCCTAGCATTCATAGTCATTCATAATCTGTCCTTAATTTACCCTTCTAGCCTTAAATCCCACCACTTTCTATTGCCAGGCTGAGGATAGCACATAAATTTCCTCTCATGGATTTACTTCTTTCCGTTGGTTTTGAGTTATCTGTTGAGTTTGAGTCTCACGTGGGCTTAAACATGCTCTAATTGATCAGTGAGGTCTGTCATGGGCTGAAGGTAGAAGGGGAGTAGTTCATGTACCCAAAATTGTTATCCCTACCCTTGTCACATGGGCTTCCTCGCACATGCCATGTCTTTCTGTTTTCTTGGTTTTGCTCCTTCTGTCCTTCCTGGCCTTTGGTATCCCACTTTTCCTCCTGAAATTCACATCCTTTAAGACAGCTTATCTTCTCTGAAGAGTTTCCATCTTCCGTGGCAGATTTACTAACACGTTCCTGAATGATACCAGAGCTTTTGTTCCTACAGCTAGTAGAGCATGTGGGTGGTGTGATGAGGGTAGTGGGCAGAACTTGATTGAGTTTGAAATGGTCTGGTCTCCCCAACTAGATTGTTAAAGACCATATACATATTTATCTTTGTTTCCTCAATCATCAGTACAAAATATGTGTAAACGTGTGTTGGTTTGAATTGAATATGATTCTCTTGCCTAAAATAACTGCATTTTCTTTTGGTCCTTTAGAAAGAAAATGTTTAGTAAGTGTCAGAGACTTAAGAATTGAAGTTTATTATGCTTTTTAAATATATGATTCAATAAAGATGAAATTTTAAAAGTAACATATTTTGAGTAAGGTCAAAGGAATTGTTTCTGACCAAAATTACGTCCTCTAATCTGACAGAATTAATTCTTTATTAAATCTGTTGAGAAGGTTGACTAATTCTAAATGCCAACCAGTTGCAAAGATAGTCAGCATTGACAATATAGAAAAACCCCAAGCCTTTAGGATTACACTGAGGGCAGTATAGTCCTTGGAAAATAAAGGCTATTCTGTGCAGAGTAATACTGGTATAATTGTATATTTTACCTTGCTTATGCTTACATAGGATGGAAGTCATATTTTTCATTTTAGGGTTTGCATTTAGTTTACAAAGTCATTTCAAGCCCAGATGCCTTTCCCAGTCATGAGTATGGAGAAAACGGGTAGTGTTAAATATGGCTGTTATATATGGCTATTTTTATATATGGCTATTTTATATATTATATATATTTTTATATATGGCTATTTTTGGTTTAAAACAAGGAAAATCTAGCTACAGGGTAAGAGATGATGAATTGCTGTATACTGTAAACTCTGCATGTTCGTTGCTGAAAGCTATAGTCCATCTAGTCTCTTGGCATGTTGCCAGCACATTTTAGTTCTCTTACTTCATATTCTTTGGAGGGGCTGTTATGTAGCCTGATACTACTACCACCAATTTCTAGTTTTGCTACTTAAGCTGTTTGTGAGCTGACCTCACCATACCGCTTTGAGAACTATGATGAAAGTTACAACTGTGGAATGATGTGTCTGAATAGTTGGACGTGTTTGTCTTTTCATCTTTCTAGCATGCAAGGAAGGAATAGACACAGATTTCAAATAAATATTACATGAATGTTTCTTGTAGTTTTTTTGTGTGTGTGAATAAAAACCAGCTTGTAATTATTTATGGTAGTTTTCTTCCATTTTCCTTTGCATAGTAGAAATTAGAATATTTTTCAAAGTTAGTATTACATTTGAAAGTGCACATAAATGACATTTAGTCATACTAATGTTTGAAAGGACTATCATTAGAATAAAGGTCAAATTTATTTTTATTAACAATAGGTATGATCCAGACCCTGATTTGATATTAGGTCCATTATTCTAATATCCTTGTGCTTGAGCATTACATTAATAACATTTCTTCTTTCCAAAAGAGATAAATTAAGCTTTATGTTTCTTTAATGAGAGGAACTTGAGTAGATTAGCCTTTGAGAAGAATGATTAGTGCCTTTCTAAAACTTGAACCTAACTAAAAATAACTTTGTACCGTATTTAAACTAATTTAGAGGTATGCCACCATTCTGTGGATATTTTTTACATTTAAGGAACTAAGAATGAACAATGGTATAAATCTACCAACTAGATAAGTGTCTAGCAATGCAGAAATTGCTGTTTGGGAGCGGTGTTGCTATTTCTACTTGTTGAAGTAATTTGATGGTTGATCCCTGGTGGTTGAAAAATCCAGAAGTATGAAACTTAAGATAAATGTGGCACAGGTAGAAAATGAAAACAGTAGGTATATTTCTGATGGGTAACAAAATTTAAAAAAAAAATCTAAATAATTGAACAGATTTTCAGCTAATTATGATGTAGAAATCCGAACTGTGACAGTTTGGTTGAACTGCCCTTTGCTTAGAATGTTATGTTGGTTTTGTTTTGATTTTATTGTTAGCTTGAATGTTGACTTGTAATTTGGATTGTAACATTTAGAAAGGTCAAGATGAAACATTTGCAGTTGCTCTC